AACTCTTTCTCTATATCTCATAAAAGTATAAAGTGTACTTTCAGCTCTTTTTGTCAGTGAAGTCACTGTCGTGGTTGATGATGGCTTGAAGAGGTACAGAATATTCTCTCTGGCCAGAAAAAAATAATTAAGATCAATCAGCATAAATCATTTGATGTGATGCACTCTACATGATGATGTATGATGATCACAATATTAAAGGATCACTCTTTTTTACTTTTATTATCTTTAAACATTTGAAAAACTAAAACAACAAAAAGGTGTTACTAGTTTTGCAGTGGGATTTCTGTGGTTTCTCCAGGGTAATGTAGCATTTTTAAAACACAAATCAAAACAAACAAACATTTCAGAAGCATTAAAATGAAAGCAGAATTGAATGTGCTGTAAATGGAAAGAGTATGAAAACAATACATGCAAGTAGGTTTGTTTTGACAAACGGGTAATTATCAATCCATCACTCCTTATATCGTAGGCTTCTAGGATAAAATGAACCAACCAGTGAATAAATATGAAAAATAGTTCTACAGCTATAACCAATTTGCTTTCTGTCATGAATGATTATTTATGTTAGCAATAAATTCTATTCAAAGATACCAAAAAATGCAAAAATACCAGATCTGGTGCTACAACTATGATAATTAGTTCACTACCCTTATCTTCTGGAAATAAACTTTTAATGGAAAATATTTTGCAATCTGTTCTGTGATAAGAGTTAGGTATGAAGAAATCACTTCATTGATTTGACAGTAGGTACATAGGACGTATTACTCTATAGAGATTTTTATTCTTTGGCTTCTATTCATCTATGGCAGATTTTCATTAACAAATAGGATATTCACATTTATTCTTTGTACCTAAACAGTCACTTTAATTGAGGACCAGGCTGGTTGCACCTCCATAAGAAGTAGAGTCTTGTAGGAGGAAAGAGCACTCCCTATCTCAAAAGTAGCTAATCTAATACTTCATTATACTCATAGTTGGTGTAACCTCAATATTAAAATGTCTGGCTGCTGAGATAGCAAGAGTGCAGAAAAATTTGTCAAAAAATAAGTAATAACTACTAATTTGTATATGAACTGCTGATATCAAGAATTTTAGACCTTCTACTTTCCCTTGATTTGAAATCTACCACACAAAAGTGGAAGCTGCTATTCTGCCATCAGTCATACTTTTGATAAAGTTTTGCAGACTCAGTAAAATCATATTAATATATTGTTTTAATTTTCTCTTTTTCAGCTGTTTAAAAAAAGTCTTGAAAGCTGTGTGTCAATGTCAAAAGCCTGGTGCTACAGAACTGAACAGGGGAATTTTGGAATTAAGTCCAGCTGAGCAAATCAAACTTGATTTAATCAGCTGAGAGAAACAATAAACTAACCAGTCTTTCTTCCTTACTGTTCCCTGCTCTCACTCAACTGATGACCACAGGAGCTAGCATGAGAGATATGGCAGATGTATGTAGGCAGAGTGGTGAACAGGGGAGATGTTTTGCAGCTGCAGGTGACTTCAGAGTACATTAACTTTTATCTGTGCTACTGCGAATTGGAGCAAGTGTTCAGAGCTAAGGCGGAAAGTAAATAAACACCACAAAAAGTGAATCCTTGTCTTCATGGTGCATATATAAATCCAGAATAACTGAACCAACTGGCCGAATCATTTTGGTTGGTGCTGAAAGTACTGAGCACTTGAGACTTGAAAATTTCATTGCCTTCAATTACCCATAAGATTTTCAAAGAGTATTCATCAGTCTCTTTGAGGGGACTTGGCACTTTGGAAATGGTAAATGAAGTACATACATACATACAGCAATGGAAGTTTTAGTAGAGAGATGAATGGGTAAGTGAAACCTGGAAAAATACAAGGGTGAAACGTGAACATTTTAGTAGATGGGTGGATGGAACCTAGAGAAAAAGGTATCAGTAAAACATGCAGAAATTTTAGTAGTTCTCTGAATGGCTGGATGTGACCTAAAAAAGGAATGAGCAAATTGATATTAAAATTCAATTATTATTCCAGCAAGTAGGAACACAATCATAACAATATTCAGTCTGTAAGATGATGCTAAAATTAAAAACAGAAGCAGAAGAATTTAAATTTAATTAATATGGGATAACATAGTCAATTTGGTGGGATTTCTGCTGAGTCACATTTTTCTCTGAAAATAAAGCAGATGATCATATATATCCTGATTTTTAAACGACATTATTTCAGATAGTTTTGAAACTAGAAATGCCATAAAAGATTATTCTATGCAAGAAAATACCACTTTTTACTTCTCTGAGCTGCTAATTTACAGCAAAATAACCACATGATAACACACACTGTCATTTCTTAACTTTACATTGAACATAAAAGAACATAAAGATGTAATTTCACACAGACAATAACTACTAAAAAGAACTAGAACAGTGAAACAGACACACTGATAGGTATATTTTTTTTCTCCCTGACTTCTGCTGTTAACTTTGTTTTAGAAAGGAGAGTAGAAATATGAACTATGTGGTTTATGTAGACTACCAAGCCATCTTCCCTAGATGCTGGGTTCTAGCACAGTCTGGCTATGCTGCAGAAAGGGGCTGTCCCAGGTTCCTATAGTGTGCTCTTTCTTATAAGTTACCAGCAAATGAGTCACAGCTGCTAACACAGGTATTTTACAATCACTGTGGAATTCAGTATGAATTCCCCATCTCATTTCCATCCAGGGAAGTACCCAAATCTGTTACTTTTGAAGCTACAGCAAAAGTTTTATAAACAGCTTATACAAAAGCTAATCTCTAAGTGATTCTGTCCTCATTTACTTGTTGAAACGTTCATAGAATCATAGAATCATTTAGGTTGGAAGGGACCTCCAAGATCATCAAGTCCAACCACCGAGCCACCAGGGCTCCAAAGTCCTCTGCCAAAACAGATCAGAATCTGTCAGGGTTGGAAGGGGCCACAAGGATCACCCAGTTCCAACCCCTCTGCCATGAGCAGGGACACCTCCCACTAGATCAGGCTGCCCAGAGCCTCATCCAGCCTGGCCTTAAAGACCCCCAGGGATGGGCCCTCAATTCATCTTCTAGTGTAAATGACTTTGAACAGATTGGAAAAATGGAAATTTTCTAATTTTCTGAATTATGCTTACCATTATGAAGATTTTCTTCTGGCAGACAAACATGAAGAAATCACTCTAAGAGAATATACTTTCTCTTACTTGGTGATACTCAGCAGCAAAACAGGAGCTGATAGGAACAATTGCACTATACCTAATCTAACAAAAAATTTCCACTGTCTGGCAATGACATCTACATTGCTTTGCAGAGGTGACAGTTTCACTGGAGCATGGCGGAAGGTCATTATTTCTACACATTGGTATTCAGACTTTTGCTGAAACTCTTACTGAGGCAGCTGCTGCTACTATTGACTGAAACTGGAAACACTGCCCATACTATGATCTCAAACACTTTCTTTGGTAGCAAAATCCTCCTAGGGAGGGTAAGCACCAAGAAACCCTTTGTCCCCTTAGGGAATACCTGTCCCCTTCACTAAATTAAAAATGGAAACATCATAATGTATAAAAAGATAGAAATATTTGATAAAATGCCATGTTGTCTTTTTATTCAATAAAATGTAAACTTGTAAGTAATGGGCAAAACACCATTCATGATCAGTTTGGGAGCAAACATTTCTCACATATCAAAATTAAAGCAAGCAGAACTAACTACAGGAATAGCTGGAGGCAAGACCTTAGTCTTTTTGTCCTATCATTAGGCATGCAAATTATTCCTGAATTATGTTTCCATTACCAAGATGACAGATTTGATTACTCACACGAAATTTTGTGTGTCAAAATGATTGCTCAATGCAAAGATATCTGGCAAAATAATATGCACTGAATTCTAGTCCAGAATTTTTATTTCCAGAGAGTACTTGAATCACACAATCTCAGTATTTATATTTTGACTTTTCTGAGAAAAAAATAGCCATGCATGCCTTTGCCAAATAAAGCTACCAGTATCAAGTATGCATAAAGTCTGTCTAAGAGGCAAGATCTTTTCTGGAAGAGACCAAAAGCCAGAATGCATTTTCAGCCAAGCCATTTCTTGATTTGCCATGAAAAAGCATTACCATGCCAAATAAAAAGCAAGCATTCCATCAGTTGTAAGCATATTTTGGTCTGGTTTAGCCTTTTATCAGAATGAAGGAAAAAAAAATTATTCCTTTCAAAATAAGCTGATGAGCTGTTTGAATTCTACTTTGGCAGGGAGTACAAAAAGGAGAAGAGTTTGGTCCAGGTCCCTCCAAATGTACCTTCATAACTACAAGAGTTGCCAACAGAGCTGGAGTCTAATCTTAGAGAAACAAAAATAGATATTAAAAATGGAGCTGATTTTTACATGCAGTCCTAGTGGAACAGTCATGTGTTTGTTCACAGCAGACTTTTTTCAGAACTTGTAATAAGCTCAACTGCTGGGTTCCCAATGAGGACAGGAAGACAAATGTGTGGGTTTTTTTTTTTTCAGGTGAAAAAAGCTCTTGGGCTTTGCAGAAGGGTAAAACATATAATGTCAAGTTTCTGTAGTAGAATAGAAACAACTTAGAATGACAGTAGGATATTGTCTGCCTTATTTAAAAGCTACCTAAAGCATACTTGTCTGACTTTTAGCAAGCTTGGTCAATGTCAACATCCAGGCTCACTTAAACATGTCTTTCTATTTTCTATTTTCTTTTCTATTTCCTCATGCAAATCAGTTGAAATTCGATGTATTAATTAAACAGCCTATATAAATACTATTGTTAATGTGTCAGTCTTGTTTGCAGAATTTTTGAAGATACTCATAAGAATCATAATCTCCTTGTGCTGGATAAATCATGCAGAAAAAGGATCTGGGCAGCTTCATAACACACTTCTGAAATTTGCCAGCAAAATTCTGAATTAAAGCTCAAACAATCCAGCATCTGAACAACATTTAGGAATGTTCTCTTTACTGTCCATTTTCCAAATGTGATTTCAGACTCACCTTTACCCTTTTCAGTTCCACCCTCCTCCGGTGTTTTTTGTTCTGTGTAGGAAGTACAAGTATATTTTTGAGAGGATCTTAAACTAAAAAGAAAAACTTGCACAACATTAAAAAATACAGCCATAGGTTCTAGGTTCTGTTAGTATTGAAAAAACAAACTGAAAGATTTTTTTTATATATATGTTTATACATAATACACAATTGTAATCCCGTAAAGCATTTTACAACTATGCGTATCAATGCTTTTTCTGTGTTTTGAACGGGTCATGTAAGATTCCTGTACTCAGTGGAAGGAAAATGTTGCATTTTTCTTAGGCTTATTTACAAAATTCTTTGACATTAGTTACATTTAATAGTTAATTTGGATGGAATTGGATTTCAATGCTTTCTCTCTTTCAGGCTTTTATAGGATTCTTATTCTCTTCTGTTTCCTATGTCATTCAATTTACATACAAGGCCATTTAGAGACTTTTGCATTCACAAATCATGTGGATTCTGTTGTCTTGAAGGTGTAAATACCCAATATTTTATTACCTGTGAACAATGACTTTCTGTGGCAAACTGACTTGTTAATGGCCTGATAGAACACAGGTTTGGATGAAGGTGAATGGACTAACATTGTCAAGATGGAGTTAAGGTAACTTTTGTGCCATGGAGGAAACATTTTAATGAGCCAGTTGATATTATGATATCCTGATTTCTTGTTCATATGTGCATAACCATAGTAATTAGAAAAATAAAAGATGAAATTTGGAAGACAAGTTCATGTTCTGGAAGTGTGACAGACTGCTGGATGCCTGGATCCAGACTGGATCCAGATTCTGGATTTTCTAAATTTCCAGGCTCCACTTGTCAGGTTTTCCATCTTGGCCAGATGGTCAGACCTGTTCCTTTTTAATGGTCATTTTGCTACAGTAATACCTCCCTTTTCTGTTGGGAACTGGGGTTAGGAGAATGCATTGTTCTTTGCAGGTGGTAGCATGTCTAAATCTGATTTGAAACCTCATTAGGGTTTCAGTATATCAATCTGGTGGCTTAACACTGAGATCAAGAAGGAAATCTTAGAATGGCTTCCAAAAAAATTCCAGATGTAGTTCACGATGCTGATCATGTCCAATAAACTATTTATGTTATAGCATTTAGATTCTTGAATAGACAGTTTCCCTCTTTGTGTGATAGCATTTTGTAATCCAAGATGACAGCATCCTGAGTCGGGCAGAAGGAAGCTAGAAGTGATTGGCACTTCCAGCTTAGAAATATCCTTGCTTGGTCTGTCCTAACCATAAAGGCCTATTGAGTCTCTACTTGTTTTACAGAAGTACTGGTATGGGGAAAAGGAATGGGGTTCTAGGAATGTTTTCTGATTTAATCCTCCACATTTAAATAGAAATTAAGATGAAGTTATGTTTTCAAAAATGTTGATAGATGGTTTTAATGTAACATTTCAAATATGCTATTCCTTTCTGTCTACAAAAAGCAGTTTTTCAGTTCAGTTCTACTTAAAAATTGAGACTGAGGAAGAACATGAACTCAAGTACAATGTATATCAGATAAGAACCTCACTGTGAATATTTTGAAATGAATTACTTCATATCAGCCGTACAGATTTTAAGGCTGAGTAAAATGAAATTTCATGAATGAAATACCAGTTAATTTATCTTACAAATATATGTAATATAAAAGATTTAATCGTAACATAGAGTAATATATGCATTAGTTAAACATGAAACTCCTTGTGGCAAATGTTATTACTGCCTCCAGACTTTGTCACATTTTAATGAAAAAGTGTATCCCTTGACAATGTCTTGAATCAGACTCATGAAATGCCAGTTTGCAAGACTGTAAGTAAATGCAGGTTTAATACCTGGAATGTATTTATTCTGTTTGGTATTACTGCTTAGGTAGTTACACCGAGAATAAAACTCGCCAACTGAATAAATTAGACATGCATAATGTATATATGCATATATATATTAACCAGTATCTGAGAATGTAATCGGGTTACTCAATGCAAATCAAACCCGCAAGACAAAGGCTTTCCTACCTTTCCAGTTGCCACTGGAAAGAAAATGTAGAGGCTTTGCACAGAGCTTCAGCTTCACCTGAAGCCCTACTCATTATTTAATGAGTTTCACCTCACCTAACTGGCTTTCGGGAAGTTATTCACCCATTCCAACCCAGACAAACAGATTCCTCAGGGCAATTGCCTGTACATAAACAACCAGTGGCATTTTACATAGGCTATCCAGGAGCGTGTATGACTCAGGATTTGATCCATTGGTTATAGGTGGAGCACCACTGAACAACTTGAAGATACATAAACTTCAGATGGCTAAAATTAGGTGAAATGAATCCCATGCCTAATTCTGTCAACTCTACTCACAGTGTGCCTCTGAGGAGAAATGAAAAGGGATATTTTGGTGATTAGATGCTGTTCAGCATCAAAGAAGGCAGCATAATGTAGCCACAGAATTTAAGCAGCAATCATTTGCCTGTATCCTACAGGAAATTTGCATCATCACAGACAAGTCTCTTGCAAACAAAAATTGAGTCTGACAAATCAACAATCGAGCAAAGTGAAGTAAGAATATCTTATCTGGGCAGGCTTTCTTGCTTTCCTTACTGTCCACTCACTTTCAAAGGGAGAACACAAATCATCTTATGGCTATGCAATATCTAGTCTCATGCAATCACTGTTAGTGTTACAGCACAGATTAGCATTTTTTACACTAACCTGGAGGTGGTGGTGCACTTTCAGTTTCAGTCTCTGAAAAATGAGGACAGAAAACAAATACTGAGCTTCAAGTGAAAGCAAATATTTTTCACACATTTGGTATATGCTTGTTGAATTTGGGCACAGTTTGGGTTCATTAAATATTTTAATGCAGTTCTCATTTTTTTTTTTTTTAACGTTCACACATGCAACACATTGCATCTTCAGACTGACATGATCAGAAGCCTAAAGCTTATGCTCTGTGAAGAGTATTGATCATCCTCAGTTTGGAGAGATAAAATAGTCACAGAATTATTTAGGTTGAAAAAGACCTTTAAGATCATCAAGCCCAACCGTTAACCAGCACTGCCAAGTCCACCACTAAACCATGTTCTGAAGTGCCACATCAATACGTCTGCTAGATACCTCAAGGGATGGTGACTCAACCACCTCCCTGGGCAACCAGTTCCAATGCTTGGTAACACTTTCAGTGAAAAAAATTATATTGATAGCCAAACTAAACTTCTTTTTGTGCAACTTGAGGATATTTTGTCCTGTCCTATCACTTGGTACCTGGGAAAAGAGACTGACATCCACCTTGCTACAACCTTCTTTCAGGTCTGTCCCTGACCTGCTGATGTATGTCATCTACTTACATGTATTCATATTAATCTATATAGCTATATAGGTGGTCCCCAGTACTTTTTGGGACCTTTTGGCAATTCCAGTTTAGGGCAGTTCTGGAATATCACGGAATTCAAGTTGAATTTCAAGTTTGGATTTGATTTCTGTGTCAGTTGGTCTTGAGCCTATGCTTAAATGTATAATTTACCACATTGATATGCTTCTTTTAAATGTTATCCTATGTTTAAGCAAACATTCCATCAGCTGGAATAATATCTGATGTAACTTTAGTCATGCAGGGTAGTGGATCCATTAACTGAGGAGGATTATGCATATAGAATTCAGAGACCTTTATCTCAGTTTCATTATACAGTTAGATCTAGAGTTCAGTGTTCAGCACAAGCAAAGAATCAGCTTAGCTGCTCTGCATGGGACCTACAGTATGTTTCATTTTTCTTTCAGTCATGATTTTTAATCTAAATCACTTCCCTTTCAGGTGTGTGATACAGAAAACAAGACTTTTATTTAATTTTTTTTTTTTAAATGTAAACATTTTCATTTAAAAAAAATAGTTTTGATTTAAATGTTGTCCTTTTGGGATGACAGATTATCTTATCTATAAACATAAAACCAAATTAACTAGATAAAATTTATCTTTGAAGTGATAAAATTTATCTTTGAAGTGTTAAAGGAAGCTTATTTTTAACCTGTAAAAAGCCTTAGGACTCTATATTGGTTGAAAATAGTAATATTCATTGGAGAATTGACTTTTAGTTTAACCAGTTGCAACAAGATAAGATTTAAAAGGTTAAAATCCTTAATGGTAACAGTAGATGGCTCTTACTAACCTTTGTCATGTTATGGGTATTAACCTTTACGACCCCACATCAGGTCTGATTCAGGAAATAAAGTTCCAACTTCTGTCACACAGAAATGCTGATAAGGCTATTCGTTAGCAGTCAGGTCTAAATATAACTAAAGCGTGCTTCTCGTTCTTAATAAATCCATATAATGTTTAAAAATAAGGAATACTTTAAGTACAAATACAATTTTAAGCTGAGTCTGTGAATTTGATATGGTTGAGGAACTTCCAGACACATACACAAATGCTATAACAAATAATTGTACAGGGTCCAAAGAGAA